TTTCAGCAGTGGAAGCCACAGCATCCCGGAGAGCAGAAAAACACACCCAAATAGGATGGGTTACAGAAAGCATGGTTGTAAGGGAGTCATCCTGGCTATGGAAAGCTAATGCTCAACAGGGAAAGGCACAGGCCAAAGTCTTGGCATCCTCCAGTGCGGGGGACCCCAGTGCACGGTTAGGGTCAGTTGAAGCCCCATGCTCTGTGAGAACCACCAAATCGCCTCTGAACTCACCCTACCCTTGGGAGCAGTGTAGATGCCCTTCTGTGGCACAGAGCCATGTCTCCAGTGTCTCTGTGTGAGTGCCACTTCCAGATTTCACAACAGATTCACCACGAATAGAATGTGCATAGCAGTGACCGTCCTCACATCACCATCAGTAATGCTAAGGTTGCTGCTCTCTTCTTTAACTACCACACGATAAGAAAACATTCCTACCTCTCAAGGTCAACCAAAATTTTCATTGGTAAATCCCAACATTTACATACCACAAGATGCATCTTATTTTCAATCTTTACAAGAGATCAATACCTACAAATACTTCTGCTTTTCACCATGCAGTAATGAATGAAATAGCTGTAAATTTAACTAGTAGGTGCAAGTAGTCTATTTTCTTCATTTGGACTCATCTATGAGAATGGAATCTCATCCATTCTTTGTTAAGTACAAATGATAGAGCTTGAATGGTCCTAAGACTGAGAAAACCAGAAGGCTGTATCACTGAAAATCTGTCAATTCAAGATCCAGTGGGATATTTAAAAGGCACCCTATCAGCTTAAGCACCTACATTTGTTTGTCTGTTTATACTGCAAGCACTCTTATGAATTACAGTAAACACCCAGCTGCACCTTTAGTCACCTAAATACCATGTGAAGCCTGATCCATGGTGACCAGAAATACCCTCAATTCACTAACTGAAAGTTAATTTTGAAGCAGAGGGGATACTGTAGTTACGTAACAATGAAGCCAGCTTTCCTTCATCCTTCTGTGCTACATCCTCAAGCTGCTGCCTCTCAGGGGGTAATTCCTGGGAAGGTGTTGCCCAGCTCCCTTTGGGGCCATCCCTGCTCTGAGTGGGTCAGGGGAGGAGGTACTGATTGGAACCTCTCTCTCTTCTCTACCCCGCAGTCACTCCTTATGAAACTAAATCCCCACCAATAAATTGTTGCCAAATTTTGACAATTGGAATTGGAATATTACATATTATAGGGGAAGAGAAGGAAATTATTGTAAGAGCATTTATAGGACTCCCAGTTCCCTGGAAAATAATGCTAAAAAACATTTTAAAATACTGGTTTGTTCAACTGTGTCATACCTTTTGCTTGACAGATTACATGCTTTTCCTCTGATTTCTTCCAGACTCTGTGTTCATGAAAATGAATTCAGTAACTCATAATTTTTAACATAATAAAACCTGAAAACTTAAGGATTTGGAACCTAGATAAATAGGTTCTGCTTACATAACTACACAAAGATACATTATGTGTTTTTTGTCAGCAAAAAACGCACAGAGTTAAGTTAAACAGCAGTATGTAGTTTCAGTTCTCCATGTCTCTAAACTATGTATCAAAGAGAATGAATTTTATATACATTTATGAAAAAACCAAAACACGCAAGAGCACAGCACAGCTGAAGTTAAGTCATTAAATTGGTCTGTTCTCTAGCAACAGCCACACTTCTTACAAGTTTGCTTATCCTAATAGTCTTGTAATATTTTCACCATCACAGCTCAAAATAGAACTTTATTGTAATATATTACTGACTTTAGTAATATATTAAGTGTGAAAAATGTAACAGACAATGATTCTTATCCATAGAACACGATTTTTACAATTATTATTAAAAAGAATGTTTCATTTATCAAATAATGTTATAGCTATTATAAATATTATCATAATAAAGGAGAAAGTGAAGAATGAACTACATCGACATTCTGAACATAATGTTTCCATTTCCTCTGCGAACAGTATAACCTAAAAGATGAAGAAAATTTTATTCACACAACACCATGCAATCCCCGTCAATATTCAGATGATAAAGAGCTCAACCTATTGAACTGCGAAATTAAAGTTCACAAATTTCAGGAATTAGGCCAATTGCCTAAAGTAGCAGTAGGTGTGACTCACTTATGGAAACAGCATGGGAAGGACAGAGAAACAACTTCAAGTTGGAAAAGCTTTTAAAAGCATACGAAGTACCCGGCTGCGGCCTCCTTGATTTTAAGGACTTTACACACAATTTCCGCTCTTATAAATAAAAAGAGCTTTCTCCTAGCTCACTTCATTATAAGGGGAGCTGCAAAAATGCAGACCCACCTCAGAGGGCGGGAGTTCACCTCTGTGATTTTTCCAGGCAGCCCAGCACAGTGGGGGCCCTGGGCAAACTGGGGCACTCGGTGTCTGCACTGCCTACACACCTGGGGCTTGCCCGGGGTATGGGCAGCAGCTGCCCTCAGGCTTCCCCAGGAATTTGCCCCTGCAGGTGTCCCACCCAGGCAGCCACAGCTCACCATCACACCATCCAACCTGGGCAAATCTTACTTGGTCCAACCACTAAAGCCTTTTCTTTGGTAGCTTGACCCATATCACAGAATTCAATGGTAAACTCATATTTTACTTCCTATGGCCATGCAGTAGGATTAGCATTAAAAGTGTCCAGACATTTGAGAAATCATTATCTTATGATGTTTGGTATATCAGATTAAACAGTCAAAGATAAAAAGAGAAAAAATGAGAGGAAGGAAGAAACCTCAAGCCTCTTAACTCAATTTAAACTCTTAATTTTGTATCACTCTCCCTCTCTCTAAATCTAGGGGGAAAGGTTATTTTGAGCAATAATATTTTTGGATTCTATAATTAAGTAATTGAATGAAAGAAACAAAGAAAATAACCTAAAATTCTCAAAATGCACAGGATGTAAGAGGCCCCAGTTTCCAGCTGACTTGTAGAAACTGTTCAAATGACCTCTGAAAAATTTACAATTCTCCTGCCAGAGCCCATCCCTCACCTTGCCCATAGTGACAGATTTTGCAGCACACGGAGGACAGAGCCACAGAAAAAAGAGTGACTTGCTTCCTCCTTTTTCTTCCTGCACTTTTTATGATTCAGTTTACATGAGAAGATGTACCTAATGAAGAAAATTAGGAATGAAACATCAGGCCTGGAATAAATAACACAGCCATCAGGAACCAGTGACTTGGTTTCTATTCATATGGGCTATAAACATTTTTATCAATGCTATTACAATTTCTACAATTCTGAAGACTGGTGAATCATTAAGAAAGAGTAGATCATACATTTTATTGGTTGTTGAAGAACACATATACTCACATTTACCTTACACTGAAATCTATGGTAAAATAAGTTGTGTGCAAGCTAGAACAAAGGTTTGGGAGAAATGTATCTAGACTAGCCTTCAGAAGACATGCCAGCTACCTCCATGAGCTGCAGTCCTCAACTGGGGACATTTCCATACATATTGCCCTTCTGTCTCTAACTTTCTGATGCAGCTGGACTACCTGCTCCACGACTACTCCGTGATCCTACAACCACCCTCATTATGGTTCATGCTTACACAGCCTTTGGCAAAGAATGAACAGCTCTAATCTGGAAATTGTTTCATAGGGACTTTCCACACACCACTCTTTTTAAAGAACTTCTTATAGCACTGAATGACCTTTTTCCCTTCTTATAACCATATTTTTATTTTAAAGACTATGGAAAGTGTGAGTCTTCAAACGTAGCAACTGTCTGGTGCTACCATTCATACTGCATTTTGCTAGAGCATATGTAACCATGACAGTGTTTTGATACTAAAAGTCAATGGGTACTCTTCGTAATTCAAACACAACACTGTTCCTAGGAGCCTAAGAGAAAAAAAAAAGGGAGAGTGTGAAGCTTGATGTTATATTTTAATAATTGAAGAAAACTCTGATCTTTGACTTTGTGATAGAAAAATTGCCTATTTAATTAGTTTTAAAGAACAGAGTATTTCCAGAAAAAAAAAAGCTTTAATTCCAAGACGAACAACACAGACTAAAACCATCTCAGAACTAGTCATATCCACCCATCTTTTTGAAGGGCTTAGGTGACGGCAGGAGAAATAAGTACCCCAGAAAGCTAGCTAGCACCTGTGGGTGCACCCCTTCCCTGCCGCCGATGCTCAGCACTCTCCTCCCAAGGTGCTGGGATGCGGGAGCGGAGATGGGAGAGGACAGTCCTTCCTCTCCGTCTTTCCCTCCTTTCCCTCCGTCTTTCCCTCCTGTCTTTCCCCGACCCGCTGGAGGCAGCCAGCCAGCGGACTCTCGGTGGGGAGGCGGCCGCTCCAGCAGGACACCGGGACACCGGGGCGGTCGCGGTCGGTGGGATTGCCGTCGGTGTCCCGGCATCGGCTTGCTTTCCCCGTCCGTCGGAGAAGGAGTTGCCCGCTCCTTGCCGGGGGCCCGGACACCTCCCCTGACACTTGCCGTGCCCACAGCCGGGCATCCCCGGGGAACAGGGTGACGGCGGACACGCTCACCCCGCAGCCAGGTGACCATAGATTTTTAACCTCTGACAGCAAACAGGCGCGTTCAGCGCTGCCGACGCGCCGCAGCGCCCGCCGGCCGGCACCGGAGGCTCCCGCGGCGCCGGTCCAGCCGCCTCTGCCGCCCCTTCCCCTCCCACGCCGGAGCTCCCGCAGCCTCGCCCCTCCCTCCCCGCCGCCAGACCCGCTGCGCGCCCGCGCACCCGCCCGCGGTGCTGGGGCTGAGCCGGCGCCTCCCGCCCGGCCCCGCCGCACCCACGTGTGCGGCACCGCGCGGCTGTGGGGGCGGCGGACACGGCCCCACCGCCCGGCTCGGCTTGGCACGGCTCGGCTCGGCTCGGCTCGGCGCGTCACGTAACGGCTCGGCACGGCTCGGCTCGGCTCCGCTCGGCTCGGCTCGGCTCGGCTCGGCTCGGCGTCACGGCACGGCTCGGCTCGGCTCGGCTCGGCTCGGCACAGCACGGCTCGGCTCGGCTCGGCTCGGCTCGGCTCGGCGCGCACTTACTCCGCGGGGCCTCCGGGGCGGTGTTGCGGGCCCGGCGGCTCCCCAGGAGCGGCGCCCGGTGGTAAGTTGCGAGGAGCGCGGACCCGCGCTTGGCGGGGAGGGGTTTCGGGGAGGCGGCGGCGAGGAAACTTCCCTGGAGCGGCTGGACCGACCGACCGCCTCCTCCTCCTCCTCCTCCTCCTCCCGCCGCCGCCGCCGCCGCCGCCGCCGCCGCCTCGCCCGGGGCAGCACCGCGCCTGCCCGGCCGCGGCGCCCGCTGCAGCCGCTCTCGGTACACGGAGAGCACCGCCGGCCTCCCCCCATTACCACCCCACTACCCTCCGCTTTTTTAAAAATTTGTTTTATTTTTAAGACTTAGGGTGTTGTTAGCGAGGAAAGGATGGGCCCTGAGGAATCCCGGCTTCCTGCGGCGCTGCCGAAACGTCAGGGACGGCTGCAGGTTACACACCCCCAAGCCTAGCTGGCGGCTCCGTCACTGCCTTGGCAGCGCCGGGGCGCAGGGCAGGCAGTCGGGAGGGTACCGGCAGCATCCCCCAGCCGCAGGGGCTTGTCTGACACCGCTCTTCACCGCGCTGGGAAATCCATCGCTGCCCTTCTTGGCGAAGGCACAGAATGAGTCAAGGTGTCAAGGACTGCGTGGGAATGCTGCACTGGGAGAAGTGCTGTGCTGTGCATATGGCACCTGACCCCGCAGACCTCGGATCATCTGTAAAATCCGAGCTTGTATGCATCCACCTCTCCTCATTAGCCATGAAGAGAGAAAGCATGGGTCAGATTCCTTGTGGCTTATAGTCTAGGTACGAAGTCACCGCAGAACAGTTGTAGAACATTCTCTTTGCTTCCCCATACTGGAGACGTGAACTTAGAACCTGCATGAAGCACGGGCACCCTAGTATAACGTGCATTAATGCCCTGCTCAGTTTGGCAACCTGGCCCACACATGGAAGCAAGCATAACTGCTGAATATTTTTGTTTTTACTTGTACTGTAATTACAAACACTGCAGCCAGACCTTCTCCTTCCTTTCTTCTTCCTTAAACCAGAAGAAAAAAAAAGTTGCCATTTCTTCAAGCTCTTCTATTCCACTTCTTTTTCTTCAGTACGTACTCTTCCACTGTTTACTTTTCCAGCTCTTCTCAGTGTCCTTGTATGCCAATTTTCAGAAAGTAAAAAACATATCTCCAGATTTAGAGAAACTGAAATTATGTTCCCACAAGCATTTATGATCTTCCTTAACTTTATATATACAATCCATGCCATTTAAATCACTCAGATATCTAGTCCTAAGGACCCAAGTAACATGGAAGACATTCTTACTTTTTAACAGTTTTAAGGGTTTCTTCCCCCACTTGTTTCTTCTCCAGTGTAACAGTCCTGTAAATTAAAGGGTGAGAGTTAATTAAAATGTCATGCATGGGGCCATGTACAAACAGACAAACAGAGATCGAGTCCACATTCTTTTGATCTTAAATGAATCCACTGGGCTGTACTTTGACTTGCCAAATATGGGATGTCTATATGTATATATTCTTTTAATTTTTCATTATACTACTTCTACTTCAACATAATTTTAATATATTAAACAGAGTTTACTCTAATTCCCATTAAATTTACCTTGACCCACAATGATTGGAAATAATGGATTTTTATTCTGCAAGGAAGCAGATTAAATTGCCCTAACATACTTGAGGGGAGAATGTCATCTATGGGTTGTAAAAATTGTCATTCACAGGTTATAAGAAAGCCTCGAGAAAGGTGAAGTCACAGGTCCACTTGCTCCCTTCTAGTGGAATATGAAATGGAGAAGAGCGTATGTGGATCCATAAAAATCTCTGAAAGCAAAATGAAAAACAGCATCTCTGCAACATACTTTGTCCTGGACTCATGGGATAGACATGTGCAGCCTAAATTCTACACTGTACAGAGCGGTTTCTTCAGAAATTTACAGTCTTTGAACAGGTTGTTGACTGTCCACTCTATGATGAAGCCTTTCTTCAAAGTCAGGTGTAAGGCTAAACATATGTCCGAATTCTGTCCTTTTTCACCTAGAAACCTTGTTGATAAAAAAATTCAAAGATTCACATTTCCTAGGTATTTACTAATTTTGAACAAGTAGTAGAGTATTCAAAAGTTATACACAAACCTAAAATATTTAAGGTCTCTGCTGGAGCACATCTAAGTCCCGAGGGATGCTCTTATTTTTGGGTTGGATACCTCAGAATAAAATGTGAACGTCAGTTCCAGTGTGAGGGTAAATGTTGCACAGGCATGTAAGAGTGCTGGCAATGCAGCCCTAAGAAGGACTGTGCTCTCATGAGAGCCATGAACCTACCTTATGAAGTAAAAGAGCAGATCTCCTTCCTATAGGAAACCTTGGACACTATGGTGATAAGTGATGTGGGTTGCCTTAGGTTTGGCTTTACAGTGTTTCTGTTGGCTTTCCCCTTCTGCAGGATTTTGAGCTGTTATGTTGTGAGAAGAATCAAGTGAAGCCTATATAAGAGTTGGGCACTGAGTAAAAAATCAACATAATTACCATTCACAATAGGTGATTGATAAACACAGCTTATACATCAAAATGTTTAAAATAGCAGTCAGATCGCCATCCTGCTTCCTAGAGTCCAGTCTCATGAGTCGTCAAGCATCTGCTGTTGCCACTGGAGTAAAACCCAGTTGTGAAAACTCTCCCACACTAAGAGCTGTCAGGTCACTTGCTGCCATTATCCCCTTACCTGGAATAGAAACCTCCAAAATGTTACGTGACTTACTCGACTGATAGCGTCATCTAAAACCAGTGTGGGTCTTCCTTGTGTAGCTAATGAATTTCTGTAGGAATACTAAGAAAGCATATTAGGACTGACAGCTCAGAGCCCTGAAATTCGAAAGACCAATGCCTTTGAGAACTGACAGTAGCTCCAAGGTAAACAGTTTCTTTTCTGTTATTCTTTCACTCCTCAAAATAAGCACGTCTCCAGCTCTGAGAGCTCCTGGCAGGTATGATGAATGGCAAATCCTAATGAAGCCCATGGTTTGGCCAGTGTTAGGACTTAGCACTCTTTACAAATTCTCATCTGAAGCAGGAGTATCAGGAGCCAATTTCTTGAACATAATTTATTCCAGACACTAGCTGGAATAAACAGCATTCTGTAACCTCCTCAGATACTTTGGCAGTAGGGAGCTGTCTTTATACTTCTTTCAATTGAGTGATCCAAATATGAAATTCATTGCTCAAGAACACAGCATGGTTTTACAGACTCAAGTATTTGATTTCATTACTGGGGACATTGTTGTGTCATATCAGTGTGGCATTTTCATTATGTGTCGGGTCTGCTAGAGCATGCTGCTTACCTTGCCCTGATGAGAAAAAAATTCCAGCACTTGGATTTAACTTTCTAGAAGCAACTTAAGCATACATTCAGTTTCTAAAATATGTTTTACTTAAGTATCATACTAGAAAAGGAGTATAAAATGGGACCTCCTTAGTCAGTAGACATCCTTTTGTCTGCCTCAGAGTCTTTTCAGATTCCTTCAGTCACAGATGGGCATTATGTTATGAACAAAAGCACTGCCATGAGTATAAACCTCACTTATCCATGCAAAGAAGGACAAATAAAACTGAGCTTTTCAGTTCCAGGGTCAGATGCCATCCACAGCTACATCTAGATGTAATTAAAAGCAAAATTTTTATTACTATGAAAAAATACAAGATTCAAATGGTGTGTAGTAGCTTCTAATGGAACCTGAGACAGATGCTACTGGGATCCCGTACAAACTGGCACCCATAATGCCATGTTGGCAAGCCACATATAACAGACCTTCACCTACTCCTTTAGAAGATCCAGGAGAAGACAAATAACAAATAGTCCATTCAAACATTAATCTATCTCTTCTAACTCTTGGTTATGTTTTCTTTAACTCCCCAAAAGAAACCATTTTCATCTGTAATGTTTATGTTTTCAACACCTCCAATATTTGTTATCTTCCATGTGATGTGATGATTTAAATATAATTTTAAATATTTCTCCCTCTGCTGTGCTGCTCATTCCCCCCTCCCCCCAATACTCCATTACTTTGTCATTATCTTCTTGATAAGGAGTTGTCTGAAACTAATGACAATGGAGGGAGATGGGGAAAACAGCAACTTAGCATTGTGTGGAGGAGCAGATAAGATATCTTCCGGATTCATAATCTGCTAATTGTGTGTCTGCAGATAAAAACTTCCCACAGCTCCCCAGGTCACTGATGGAAGTCCCTCAGACTTCCAGTGAGTTTTGAGCACTTTTTTTTTTCAGTATCTGGAGATAATTTTTTAATGCTTTCTAAGATCTAATACTGTAGACACTTGTGTTTGTAATTTTAATGAAACTACCCACCGAGCTATTTATGAATACATGGATTTACAGAGGTTTCCTTCATGAAATAACTGGCTAAAACCAGATTATAAAGTAGATTATCAATGTAATCCTACTTTGTATTTTAAACTGTCTGGTAATTTTGATTTTGCCGTAGTTCATTAAGATTTTAAAAATTAATATTCCACGTGCAGTGGAATAATACCCTTAGCTTTGCTCTCTCCACATTTGTGGATGAGGTTCTTCATCAATAAAGGCCTGAAATGAGAAACCTGTGTACATAACACAGGTATGAATGGGAGGCTGAACCATTCAGAGTGACAATCCTTTTGTTTAATGTCATATTCTACAAACATGGACTTGTGCATTACTGTACATGAGACCACTTGAGAAAGTAGTTAAGTACAGTCACTATTGTAAATTTCAGGTACAGAAGTTTAATTAAAGGTGTTCTATTTTGGGATCTTGGAAAACCTGTATATATTTCATGTTCCTCATTTTCCTTTAGAATATTATGGCTTGATTCAGCTCCTAGCAGTCCGAGAGGCTGGTCCGTGTAATTTAACCACTTTGCTGACAATGTAAGTCTTGCTTATCTGTCATTACTATATCCTCACTAAGATCAATAAAGAAAATTTCTCAATATATTCAAGAAAAATTGTTTTTGTAACAGGAGGTTCAAATGTCTTCGAAGAAAATAGTAATTCACAAGGCAAGTATTTATTGTAACGATGAGAAAATAATAGTATTCCGTTAATGAATAAAATTATACAAAGGCATTGCAACACATTTCCGACAAGTTAATAAGAAAAAGTATCATCCTTAGATATCTGGGGGAAAACGCTTGAATTTAAGATTACCTTCTCCGAGTTTGTTCAAGCCCCTTCTGAACACACATTTGGAAATATTCCAGGAGGCGAATTTATTTAAAAAAAAAAAAAACACAACAAAACCTTAACGAAACGACGAATTTTAAGTAAATATTATCCCACGATGAAATTTGACATTGCAAACGTGCTAGGAAGAAACGAGGGAGTAGGGAGAAGCGGTGCCTCTCGGCCGCAGCTGCCCCAGCCGATCCGCGTTCGCCGCCTCCGCGGGCCTTAGGCAGCGCGGACCGGGCTGGGGATGCTGAGCCCGGTGTTTTGAACACTCCCCTCCCTGACTGCTTTGACGGCATTTTCCGGGCTTGAGGTCCCACAAGGGACACGGGGCCCCTGAGTGATGTTCCAAGGGACGTGGCAGGGACCTACCCCGGAGCTCCGCCGCCTCGGCCCCCCGCAGCGAGGTTTCGGGGAAGCGGCTGATGGGCAGGGACTGGGGTGCAACCATGCGTGAAATCACCCCCTTCCACCCACGGTGGGCCGACCCGCTGTCTCGCAAAGAGGACCCCCTGTAGCACCCTGGAAGTTCTCCTTCAGCACTACGTTCGGTCATTCGAGTGGCTTCCTACAAACAAGAGAGGAAACTAGGAGATCACATGAGGAAAAGAAACCCAAAAACCCAAAGCCTATTCCGTTGAAGATTGAGTCACTGCTCCCGCTTAATAACGTTCTAAACGGGAATAGCTAACGTATCCCTTTGCTCTTTGCAGCGCTTAAACGCAGCCATTGCCAATAGTCGCGTAAGGGCTTTGAAGTTATGGAAATTGTCTTCGCAGGCATTAGTCAGTGTTTTAATAGGTCTCGTTCTGGCTCGGTCGCTGAAAGATGTAAGCAAGCCAAAAATTTAACACTCTTCTGGGGCTCTAAAATGTTAGGTCCCTCCTCCGAGAGGGATTTCGATGTGAGGCCAAGTGCGAAGAGACGAATGAGTGCATATGTTCAAAATTACATTTTCGACAGAAATTCATATCTACCGGGTGGTGTTTAAATGCAAAGTGCGACAGAAGTGGGGGCGGGGGGGCTCAGTATGCAGGAAACATCGCTGGGAAACCTGGAATGTAACAGCCAGGATCAAAAGTTAATGGCCTATTTGATGTGAAAAGTGAGCTGGGGATGCCGGAGAGCGGCAGCGAAAAGAGCCGGCCAGACGCTCGCAGGGCGTCCGCGCAGCCGGGCCGCCCAAGCCCCACGCAAATAGCTGAGCCAAAAACGCAGCGCAGGTAGGAGCGCTTCTCCGTCGGGTTAGCCTTTAATCAGGTGAGTTTAACCTCCCGAGAGGGACGATGGGGTGGCTGAGCCGGCCCTGGCTCCACGGGAGATGAGTCCCACGGCTCTCGGCGCCTGGCGTTGACTGCCCGCCGCAAACTCGCGGACAGTCCCTCCGCCACCTTCCGCGCAAAGCCTGTGCAGTCGATGGGGGTTCCCATCCCTCTCTGCCCGCAGCACCGGGATGATGCCGTGGGTTCCCCGAGACCTGCAATGGGGCGCTGCGCGGGAGGGCGCGGTGAGGCGGGACGGGAGGAGGCTGGGGATGTGGGTGGTGAGGGACGGCGCGGACCGCCCCAAGGCGCACAAGGGCTGGCGCTGTGACCCCGGGCCGCAGCCCCCCAGTGCTCTCATCCCCGCGCCAGCTCATGCTGGGAAAAGCAGAGGTTTCTATCCGCGTCTGATATAGACGTAGAGGGAAAAGTTCAGGAGGAGACCAGTGCGCTCCTCTGGATTGGCAGGCCACGGTCGAAGCTCGCTAAAATTATAGACCGTCCTCCCACACTACATCGAGCCATTTCGTTGTCGTTAAAGCTAAGAAAAAGTTATTAGCCTCTAGTAGCATCAGAATATTTCAGCCATGCCAGTTTGTTTAACAATATTTTTCTAAAAATAACTCTGTCCCTTGTATGGCTCAGTTTCTCCAGCTTTAGCATACGCTTTGAATTAAAACTGTTGACAAGATTGTAACGAAAATACTGATTGATGCAAACATGCCCTGAAACAAATCCACACCTGATTCTGGTTCTCTGACTATGCTGATTAAAGCCAGCGCCCGCCTCCCCCAAGCCGGACGGGTGTCTCCACCTTCTAAAGAAGTTGTCTGTCGAGACGTAACGGTGACAGAAAGCGAGTACACAGGGGGATGTACCGAAAAACAGGGTTTGAAGCGCTTGGGGTTCTCCAAGTTGGTTTGAAGAGGTACCGAGACAAATACATCGAATGCAGTCTTTTTCTCCTTCTTAGTCTTATCCCAACCCCCAGATATAGTCAACTGTTGAGAGAAGACTGAAGTCAGCCCTTTGCCAGCACTAGAATGAAAAGGCTAAGGGAAGCCAAAAATGCCTGTGGTCTCCGTGAACTACATTAAATCACGAGGTGGCTATATTTAGGTGGATAATGAAACGCGTAAAACGGTAGATAAAAATCAGTTGCTATGGACTGTCTAGGATTTCGTGTGTTTTTATTAATTTTCAAAGGAGATTTTAAGATTTACGTGATCTCCCCGTTCCAAGCAAAGCCCACCCTCCTGACTGAGCGCTTGCGCCCGGCGGCGGGAAGTGTCGGGGGAGGCGTTCGCAGCCTCCCCGCTCGCCTCGGCCGGCCCGCTCCGCGCTCTACCAGGGGCCGGCCCGGCCCTGGCCCGGCCTTTTTGCCTGTGCGGCTTGCGCTGCGGATGAAGCCGGAGGCAACCTGAGTTGCGGGCTGATGCTGAGGCAGGCGGGTGGGGATGACACCGGGGGGGCGCGTCAGAACTTCTGCTCGGGCCCTGATGTTCCGGCTGCAGGTCAGCTCTACAGGGACACCAGGGAGATTTGGCTTCGACGGTTCAAGAAAGGCAGGGGGAATATGCTGCCGCCGCCTCCGCACTTGCAGCATCACTGTTCTCTGGCTGAGCAGGACAAGAACAGTCCAGGTCTCGACTACAGAGCAGCTGCCCTTGCAGCCTTCTCGTCTCCCGGTTCACTGGCCCCCATAATGTCCCCTTGCCCCCGAGCCTCTGTTCCCCTTCCTAGGGCGCCGGCACCAGCGGTAGCACCAGCGAGGGCCACCGGGGCCGGGTAAACAGGAAAGTCCTGTTGGATTCCCAGGTGAATCTCCCTGAGCCGAAAGGAGGAGCTGCCGAGGCGGGAGCAGAGCACGGAGCGGGAGGTGGCCCCTCTCCCCCCGCCCACCACTCTGCGAGGGGGCGGTGGGGACCGCCGCGGCCCTCCGGCTCCTCCGAGGGGACAGTGGGATCCCGCAGCATGCGGGCTTTCCACTGGGATTTGTGTTCTGTCTTTTAATAGCTACACTTTGCCGGTTTTAAAAAAAATTTCTTATTTTCAGTGAAATCACTGTCACTGGGAATATGTGACCATGGAGCAGGGAAGGGGCTGGAAAGCTGCGCTCACACGTGCAGGATTTGAAATGCGGCAAAGTCCCACAGCGATATTAGCCTACATCATAACCAAAACTTAATCCCCCCGCAGCAACTGCATCACTGACACTCGGCAGCACGGCCATCCCCTCCCCCTCGGCTCGCCAGCACTGTAGGGGCACCGACAACCTGTGGGCATCCACGGGCGCCTGGCGGGGCTGCGCGGGGGGTCTGCGGGGCGAGCAGGTGTGGCCGGCGGGATTCACCAGCTATGCCTAGTCTCTTTTGGGTTTTTTTTTCCCCCAGGTTTTGACTGGTGTTTGTTTTATTGTTGGTTTTGCTTTTTTCTTTGTGGGTGTTTGTTTTGGTGCTTTTTTGTTTGTTTGATTTTGTTTGGTTTTTTAACAGATTTTCACGCGGCGCAGACAGCGGGGCTGCATCTCTCGCTTTGTCCCACTCCCAGACCAGCTACGTGTCAGCAAAAGCCTGAGGTCCCCTGCGCTACTCTCTGTTCCCGTTCTTCCTTATATTCTTTTTTTTTCCCCCCTCTAGTGTGAATATATACACATAGATGTGCAGGATTATTTTCAGGTGGCCAATGCTCAGGATTTCAAACCAGTTAGCGAAGCGGCATCACTATCTCCGCATTAGCTGGGCTTGCGTCACGGATTACGTCATCGGCTCAAATCCCTGCACCCTCCCTGCCGTACCTACCCTGAAGGAGCAGTGAGATCGGGGCGGCTCTGTACCCCTGGTCGGGATGGAAGGCAGGCTTCTCCCCGCCATGCTCTCGGCCGTAAGCAGTCGGGGACTTAACCCGCCGAGAAGTGACAGCACACCCAAGTGTTTCGTATCCTGTAGATACTGTGTCCGCTGGCTGGTGATGGAGATACCTGCCAGATTAACAAATTCAGGTTTGGATCCAAAACTATCCCCCTAAAGGACACGGCGCAAGCAACTCGGGTGGCTCCTGGGCTGCCATTCATCTTTACTGCTTTATAGAAACTAAGAGCGGTACGAATTTTACCAGAAGCCCCGTATTTTTTCCATGCGTGCGCTGGTTTCTGTTGGACGCTGATGCGTACAAACGAGAGACAGAAAAGACGCTTTCTGTATCGGCCTGTAAGAACGGTATCAAATTGTCATTTGGGGCAGAGATAAGGTCTAAGTTCAAGGATGGGAGTTTTGCTTGCCAGGTACTCGGAAGTGTGCAAGCCCGCCTTCCCCTTCTCCCTCCCCAAAGCAACAGCGACAGTAAACCCCGGATGCCAATAAACCTTAAAAAAAAGCGATACTGTTGAAGATCCGTCTCGAACACAGAAGCACAGCTACTGCACACAGAACGCAGAACCACCCTTGTCTCCGTGCCCCCGTAAAACGTTTGTCTTTGTACAAGAACGGGAAAAAAGAATGGTGC